CGATGTGGTAGGGTTTATACGGTTGACGCATTTTACTCCAATTCAACTGGTACATTTCTGGTTACATTTTTTGCACATCCTATGCATACTACTTGTCCACAATTATCAAAACATTCCAGGGAYGATCATCATTGACTATTTTACCACGGCAATACTAGTCTGGCAATAAGAATGGTAACTTGGAGCCATTACCAGAACAGTTACCAGAATCTGGTAGGATTTATGGTAGCAATCYGGTATTCTTACCAGTTACCAAAATCTGACTAGAATTGCTACCATTTTGCTACCATCTTGTTGCTACCAGATTGCTACCACAAACGCTACCAAAATATATGCTGCGCTACCAGAATTTTTTTAAAAATTCTCCCAGCCCCCTCTTAAGTATGACTCATTCAAACRATTCACAACCAATACCAATATTTTTTACGAGGACTGAAACTTTGGAGGGGGCTAAGAGAGTCTAATTATTATAGAAAATATTTATGGTAGGAAAACAAGCTACCAGATTGTGGCTACAAATGCTACCAGATTGCTACCGGATTGCTACCGGATTGCTACCAGATTGCTACCAGATTGCTACCAGATGGTAGCAATTCTGGTTGCAAGATGGTAGCAACTGTGGTAGCAATTCTGGTAGCAATAGTTCCTTGGAGGCTCCCGGGACTGCAACACATATGCTTCATTTTGCGTAAAGCAGCGCTGGGACAATCATCATTGACTATWTTACCAAGCCGGGCACGCTACCAGGCAATAGTCTGGCAATAAGAATGGTAACTTGCTGGTGACTGAAACTTTGCGGAGGGGGCTAAGAGAATCTAATTATTATAGAAAATATTTATGGTAAAATGATAGCTACCACCAGATTTCAACTAGAATTGCTACCAGATTGCTACCATAATTGCTACCAGATGATAGCAATTTTAGTCGMAAGATGGTAGCAATTCTGGTAGCAATAGTTTCTTGTCTGTAGTACAAAAGCTGTGTAGTAGAAAGCGCTATAGAAAACAGCAAATCAAGGGGGTACACTGTCCATTTAGCAGTCTGGGAGCATAAATTCCTCTATTTATGCTCATCTTTTATGTGAATTAAGTGTTTACCATGACCATTACCAGAATCTGGTAGAATTTATGGTAGCAATCCAGTCTACCAGAATCACTACCAGATGGTAGCTATAATTGCTACCAGATTGCGACCAGAAATGCCACCAGATTGCTACCACAAACGCTACCATAATATATGCCGCGCTACCAGAAAAAATTTTAAAATTCTCCCAGCCCCCTCTTAAGTATTACTGTGTTAACCAGCCCCTTCTCGTTCCATTCTAGTAGCGGGTCTAGTAGCAAAGATACGTGGTAAAATCTTCAGTGATGATCGTCCCCGGTTCCATTCCAGTAACGGGTCTAGTAGCAAAGGTACGTGGTAAAATCTTCGATGATGATCGTCCCAGCATAGATTCGATACAGGAATGACCCATTCCGTACATTCTTGAKGGTGATAATGCACAGAGGTATATTTTCTCGGATGGATGTCAACTGTCCGAAGGTACTGTAATAAAAAGTACAACAGAAACCGAACATTCAATGACAATGGATGAAAGCTCCGACGACTCGAACAAGGATGGTAGCCATCTTGAGATGGCTTCTTTAGTGGAAACGGAAAAGGTCAAGAACAAAGAGGAATCGAAAAATGTTACTGGCGACATGAATCTTCCGTCAATTAGCTCGCCGTGTAGCAACTTCTTCGCTCTATTGCTAGCGTATGCATCATACGGTGTACAGTATGCACCAAGGACTTGCTTTTGGCTTGCTGTAATTGGTCTCGTTTTCCCATCCTATTTTATCGTTGCTGATGTCTTCTTCAACCCTACAGAACATTTTGGTGAAATCCTCAATGATTATTCAGATCTTTCTGTGCAGTCGAAACTAGACTCTCTAATGAAAAACATTGATCATTGGTGTTTAGGGGGAGGAAATGACTCCTGTCGGTGTGAAGATCCGACCCTGCCTACCCCTAGATTTGACTATCGAAGATGGTCCAATGCTCAT